ATCAATATCAGTCAAAATAGAAAAATGGGTTCCCATGATGAACGTTTACGGAACCCAACATCAGTTATTGTGGTTTCCCATTGGGTAATCCGACGGAACCGAAAAACGTTTTACCATGAATTTCCGAAATCCTCAGGCCTGCTCCTGAATTATTTAAATTTTTGCAGCATTTGTTTATAATTGTACGTATATGTTGTTTGTGGTAATATCATATGCAATTGAATAAGGAGACCATTTCGGAATTCGAAATTTGGGACTCTCTCAATGCATAATGGGACTCATACTTTTCTGATCAGTGAGTCCCTGGGACTTGCTGCCGGTAAACTGTAACATTATCACTGAGAGATGACCGCTTTTTCTGCAGTCAGTGATTGACTTCTATGCAAAGTCATTTCTATGCAAAGTCCTTTCTCAACTTGTGTTCCGTGCCATGTCATGCCTGTTGAGTGTTGATTTATTTCATATTAAGAAACTACTGCACTAAAACATTAATTCATAAATGTATATCATGTGATTTTATTTCTTTTTCTCAGTATAAATAACACATACCCTGACTGTTCTACTCTTTGAATAAAAACACTTCATTCAAGCGTTAGGGAGTGCAAAGGGTTATGATGGAGGGGTGTTGCAAATCATGAACACCTGCCAAGTGGTATGATAGCATTGTTTTATCCATGTCCTTGGCTAGGCCTCAGTTTCAAAATCAGTCCTTGGCCTCGGAAGCAAGTCCTTGGTCCTTGGCCTTGGCCTCGGAAAATTTCTCAAGTCCTTGGCCTTGGCCTTGGCCTCGGAGGCAAGTCCTTGGCCTTGGCCTTGGCCTCGGGTTGCCGGTCCTTGGACACAACACTGCTAATTACTACTCTCGCCACTAGTACTACGAAGTAATATTACTACTATGCACTACTACTAAATATTATTACTAGTACTACTACTAAGTTCTACTTTTAAGTACTGCTACAACAACTAATAAATACTAATTACTACTACTACTACAAAGTACTACTACTACTACTACTACTACTACTACTATTTCTACTAAGTACTACTACTATGACTACTACAAAATACTGCTTCTAGTGATTCAGAATACTTCTAGTACTACTACAATTACTACTACTACTAAATACGACTGCAAAGTAGTACTATGACTACTAAGTACTACTACTATATTTAAGCAACCAACTACTACTAAGTACTGCGACTACAAATAAGTACGAGTACTAAGTACAATGGCTACTACTATTTACTACTTCTACATACCACCACTCAGTAATACTGAGATATAAGATAAGAAATCCTTTATTTGTCTCACAATGGAGAAATTCCCTATTTACAACAGCAAAATTATCAAAGGGAGAAAGTACAAGACAACAAGTATATGAATAAATGTAAATATACTGTAAGCATATTAAAAATGGGTGAGTGGGGGTGAGTCCAGGTTTTCAGGACCGACTACTTCTATTGAGTATTACTACTATTACAGACAACCAAATCATTCCACATTTTTTTTTATTCAGCCTGTAAGCCTTCAAACACACACCCTCCAGATATTGCATTATTTAACATTTGTTTTAAATTTATGATGATGAGGACACCTTACCACATGGCAGAGCAGTCAAAGTTGACCAACAGCCATTTGTGTGGGTTCAAGTTGAAAGAATCAGCAAACTGAAACACAGACACAGAGAAGAAGCGACCATCATCAGACTATCTGGTAACATTCAACATACCTGTCAACCTCGGCTAATACCTCCCCTTATAAATGATTACGATTCCCCTTACAAAGCAACAAAAACCCGTAAAACGGCTTACCGCGGATGCGCACATCATGCTTTTTCAATCCGACCGTGCGCAGCGATGAAAAAAAATATACGATTGGGGATTTACTTTTTACTGGTTGGGGATTTACTTTTGCTGGTTTGCCGTGACAATAGTAGTGATCGACGACGGCATTGTCGTTGGCTACCAGCAGGTGAGACGATCTGGATTTGAGCCAAAATGGTCTTTTGTTGTTTTTTTGTTTTTTTTCCCCGTATAAAAGTTGTAATACGCCGAACATGATTTGAAATGATAAAAAAACGTATAAAATACGGGGAAAACGTACAAGTTGACAGGTATGGTTCAATGATAGCATCAAGAATCAACTAAATATTAAACTAGCTTAAACGTTTGCAATAGATTTTAAGTTATCTCCTGAAAGTGAATAGTTGCCTCTATCCTAATCTTCACAGGTCTTTACAACCTTTACTAAATTGCTCCAACAGTGAAGGCAGTAAATAATTCTTTTGCAGTGAGGCTTTATTCAAATTTGCAGCGATAATTTATTCAAAGTAACACACGCTCCTTTTTTTTTTTTTGAATCTGTCTCTATCTTTTTGGGCTATCTTTTGTAATATCCTCCCCCTCCCTCACCAAATGCAATAAGATCCGCAGTAAATGGAAACAATGTGCGACAGACAGTTGCCATGCCACCTCATGCTTATTAGTCCATCACCCCTGGCAACCAACCATCTATCATCCACAAAAGGCGTTTTCCTCTCTTTTTTTTAACCTCTCACACTATATGCACACCTTCCATAAAATATGACTAAACAGCTCACATACAGTATTTGTCTGTGTCCGCCGATCCTTTATAAAAACAAGTCCTTCCAATGTTTGAACATGTGTGTCTAATAAAGAGTGATATATAAAGGTCGAACGCCGCCCCAGGAAATCACTCCAGCCTTATCGCTTCGTATCTGCACAGCTTGGGCAGATGCAGCAGCCTCGATGCCAGTAAAAAGCAGACCCAGTGACGATTGTTTGTCTCTCTGATGTTCCTCCTACTTGACATTAACGTCAGGGAACGTCAAACAGGAACAAAGCAACAGGATATAGTCAGAACGCAATCAAGTGTTTGCTTCCATGTGGCGAGTGATATTTCACACACATATTGACGTAAAGATTATGTTATTTAATGCCACAATAATATTTGCACAGGAGTGTATGCATCTGTGTTTCCTGATTTTGATCGAGTATTTCCACCCACATTTAAATGGTAGAGTCACTGTTGACATTAGCTTTTTTTGCTCACCAGCCCCTGTGGCTCGTGGTTTTCCAGGGTTAGTCGCCACTTGGCATTTTCATCAGCTACAATTTCGGATAAATGGATGAATAGGAGTTATGCGCAACCAGCTTCCGCATTCAGGAAAACAGGTCAAAGCAATTACTTCTAGTTCAGATGACTGCCGGAGTACGATCGCAGCCAAATAAATACAAAGCAACTGTAGAAATATTCAACACGACACCAGCAAGAAAGAAAACATATTTTTAGCAAGTTCATTTTAAAACCACGTCATCAAGAAGAATTTATGGTAATAGCAGCAGCATGCACAAGAAGTATGCGAATCTTTGGTAGAGTAAAACAATGTTCTGCACAAAGTGATTATGATAAATAGCATTAATGTGATCAATGTGTAAACTATGGAATGTTAAAGTTAACTTGAACTAGATTTGCCACGTATTACATGCTAATGACCACTGCAAAGACTCAAATCAAGATGACATAAATGTTAAACACAAGTCATTATCAAGTCCTCAGCTCCAATAAGGTTGTGTGCATGGTTGTGCGCCCTTTTTTACAAGGGGCATTCAACTAAAATTGCAGTCCAGATCGACCTATTTTGTGATCTACATTAAAGTAGCCCAGTTGCTGTAACTACATCTGCTTGCAATCAATACCTCTGTGAAATTGAATTAATTCAATTGAAAAAAAAAAACATTTATTATTGTCAAATATCACTGAACAAAACACGTTTTGTCAGAATTTGTGAAACTATAAGTCTATTTTTAGGACTAAAAGTATGGCAGCATTTCCAATTAAGAACAATACATAAAAAGTGAAAATGTGTGCATTCAACTAAAGTATTTAAGAAAAATAAAGAGAGGGTTTCACCTTTTCTGTTTAGCATCTTGACACAACAGTGAAGGCTCATAAAAATGACATATTTTAAATGAACATATCTTCAACTTAACAGTTTTCGAGATTGTTTGTTCAAAACCATGATGTTCATGTTCACAATGGCATTTGATATACACTCATTTCCATGAGTGCTCCCAGTGGGAATTTAGTGGCAAGTCCATATTATTAAAAAAAAAAAAACACCCCTCGAGAGGGGGCACCCCCACCCGCCGGTCCGCGGACCGGTACCGGTCCGCCGGGCATTTGGTACTGGACCGCACAGAAAGAACTTGCCTTAATTCAGTTTTATTTCGGAATACGAAAGATGTTTTATTTTGAAAAACTACCGGATTCTCCGTTACATCCGTCTGTGTCACGTTTGACACACGTCAAGCCACGCTTCTCCATCACGTGACCGATTACTTCAAAACAAAACGCAGAAGCTCGCAAAATGAGTCAAAAAACTGCTTGAGATCGCAAATCACGGCGGCCTTAAAAGTACGTTCGAGACAACTGGATTAAAGTTATGGCTGAATACTCTGAGATCGCCACAATAGCACTGTTGCTATTTCCGACATCCTACCTGTGTGAGGCGGGGGGTTTCTGCAGCAACGGCGACGAAAACAAAATTACGAAGTAGACTGGACATAAACCACACACTTGAGGTGTCATTGTCTCCTTTTACCCCGAGATGGGACCGTCTGGTTGCAGAAAATCAAGCTCGGTGCCGTGGTGAGTCGTCATTTTCATGCACTTTGAATTTGTGTTGTATCGTATTTTGAAGGCATTAAACATTGCCATAGCGATCGGAGTGATGCGGCCAGATTAGACGCTCCTTGTGTTTATTATTATATTTCGAAAACACCACAGTTTTCATGCAGCTCATACCATATTAATTTCTTGTATTATTTCCACCACACCTTAAATGCCGGTCCCTGAAAATATTGTCTGAAATAAACCGGTCCGTGGGGCAAAAAAGGTTGGGGCCCCTGCTCTAGAGTACCATTTGTTCCAAATATTCTTTCTTTTTTGGCCATTTTTTTTACTCTCTCCCTTTCTCCGTCTTTGACTGAACTTCCACGCTCTTTCTCTGAATTGTCTGATGCGCTACAGTGGCTGATTTTACTTTCTAAGATGCACACTTGATTGGCTGAGTCATGTGGTCATGCGGGATAGCTAAACTGTAATTGGTCTGCACATTTCACAATAGTGCAAAGCCTGTAATGCTGTTCCGCTTAAAATAGAAACGCCCCATATGTCTCGAATCATAATCTTTGTTGATTAGCAACAGGTCATGTACAAAACTTGACCGACCAAAAGGTCAGTGGCAATGGCGGTGTCATTCGCCAGTGATGATTCAATCCACATTTGGCAGGATAGCAGGTGTTTTTATGTCAATGTCAAAAATGGGTTTTCCATACAAATTTGGAAATTTTTGGGGTCGATTTATTGAAAATGTGCAAAGAAAACAGTTACGAGCAGCAATACACCCCCAAAAATAAAGAACATGGTAATGATGAATTTGAAAGTAAATTCAAAATGGTAGACTTCCCGTTAGGTCTAGCATGTTACTCCAAGACAATTTTTTTTTAGGTCTTTGACTCAACTCAACTCAACTCAACGGTATTTATAGAGCACTTTCAAACAGCCATCGCTGCATACAAAGTGCTGTACATGGAGCAATTTAACATATGCAACAAACAGGAAAGCAAATCGGTAAAAAAAAAAAGACGGTAGAAAGCACCGAACAGCAAAACCAAGAACAAATCTAAGTCATGCTGAGTCAAATGCCAAAGAATACAAGTGAGTTTTGAGGCGGGTTTTGAAGATGGGCAGTGAGGAGGCTTGCCGAATGTTCAGTGGGAAGTCATTCCAGAGAGAGGGACCAGCAACAGAAAAGACTCGATCCCCTCTGAGCCTCAGTTTAGTTCTTGGTACTTCTAATAATGTCTGGTCCGCAGACCTGAGGTGCCGGGCAGGTGTGTAGGGGCGGATGAGCTCAGAGAGTTAAGGTGGCGTGAGGTCATTTAGAGATTTGAAAACAAGAGGATCTTGAAAATAACTCTAAAATGTATGGGGAGCCAGTGAAGGGATGCCAGAGTAGGAGTTATGTGCTCCCTCTTACGAGTACCAGTCAAGAGGCGAGCAGCGGCATTCTGGACCAGCTGGAGGCGCTTAATGGAGGACTGGCTGACTCTAAAGTAAAGGATATGGCAGTAATCGAGCCGGGATGTGACAAAGGCATGAATTACTGTCTCAAAGTGTTCATGAGAGAGGAGAGGTGCTACTTTGGCCAGCTGTCTAAGGTGAAAGAAGCTGGATTTAACGACGGCACCAATTTGCCGGTCAAGTTTGAAATCACTGTCCAGTTTAAGGCCCAAGTTTGAGACCGTTGACTTAAGATAAGGAGACAGGAGGCCCAAGTCAACAGGATGGGATGTGCAAGGGCCACTGGGACCAAACA